TTCTACAGCGCACTAGAGTGAGACTAGCCAGTTAGGAGTTAGTCTTAGGATGCTACTGATGCATGGCTTTATCTGTTGGATATTAATATACTTTCCATCCTTTACGTATTTCTTATATTGTTGTTATTTTGTTATTTTATGTTATGTATTTTATGTTATTTTATTATGAGTCTATTGATAGTACTAATATATCGTCTTTTGTTACTCTCTTGAGCCGAGGGTCTCCTGAAAACAGTCTCTCTGTCCCTCAGGGTAGGGGTAAGGTCTGCGTACATATTACCCTCCCCAGACCCCACTTGTGGAATTATACTGGGATGTTATTGTTGTTGTAGAGTTCACACGAAGCCACACCGATTTTCGACCATTGCATTGGACCCCACAATTTTCTTACGTCGGTGCACATGTTGGCAAATAGAAGTTGGTATCCGTATCAATAAGAAGAAGAAGCCAAGACACTTTCTTAGGAATGTCGGTCCAACTTGACACTTCTAACTCTATCAACAAACTATAAGAACCACATTTTCACCACAAGATTTCACATCCTCTCAAATCTTAATTTGCCATTCCATCAATTGACAAGTTGCAAGAAAAATAAAATGAGTACTACTCACAAAGCTCACTGCTTGATTTTGCCATATCCAGTGCAAGGTCATATCAACCCAATGCTCCAATTTTCCAAACGTTTACAATCCAAAGGTGTTAAAATCACAATATCACCAACAAAATCCTTCTTGAAAACCATGCAAGAATTGCCAACTTCAGTGTCAATCGAGGCCATATCCGATGGCTACAACGGTGGCATCGACCAAGCAGAATCTTTCTTGGCCTACATAACGCGATTCAAAGAAGTTGGCTCCGATACTCTGACTCAACTTATTAAGAAATTAGAAAATTGTGAGTGCCCTGTGAATTGCATAGTTTATGATCCATTCCTTCCTTGGGCTGTTGAAGTTGCAAAGGATTTTGGTTTAGTTAGTGCTGCTTTTTTCACACAAAATTGTGTAGTAGATAACATTTACTACCATGTACATAAAGGGGTACTAAAACTTCCTCCTACTCAAGTTGATGGAGAAATATTAATTCCTGGATTATCAAGTACAATTGAGAGTTCAGATGTACCTAGTTTTGAGTCTAGTCCTCAATCAGAAAAATTAGTTGAAATGTTGGTTAATCAATTCTCAAATCTTGAGAAAGTAGATTGGGTCCTAATCAACAGCTTCTATGAGTTGGAGAAAGAGGTAACAGAAATATTCTACTTTTTTCTTTTGCTTTGTCTATTAAATCCATATATCTTATTCTCAGTTCTCATCCAGATTCCAAAATTTGTAGGAGTAATTGTATCAACAAATTGGATTTCTTTCGTAATATTTAACGTTTCAAAAAACACCAAAAAAAACATTTCTTACCTTGTTTTCAAGCTTACCATATTGTTGGAGCAGAGTATTAATTAAGTGAAACTTTTACAAAGAAGTAGTTTATACAAATACTCTCCTATAATTAGGGATATTAAATATCTTTATTAAAGCACGTGTAAAACCTTTAAGAAGATACAATATGGAGTGAATATATTAACATTTTGAAGTAAATAATACTAGTTTCACCCACAATATAAATGCTGTTTAATTACCTTGTAACGTAACAAAATGATAACTGGCCTACTATCACATGCTAAAATGCACTAATAAGTAGCATAAAAAGATCTTATTTACATTTTCAGTATATTCAGATTATCATGTATCTAATTTTTTGACATGTAGGTAATTGATTGGATGGCCAAGCTTTATCCAATCAAGACAATTGGACCAACAATACCATCCATGTACCTAGACAAGAGGCTACCAAATGACAAAGAGTATGGCCTTAGTCTCTTCAAGCCAATGGCAAAAGAGTGCCTAAATTGGTTAAATCATCAACCAATTAGCTCAGTAGTGTATGTATCATTTGGAAGTATGGCTAAATTAGAAGCTGAGCAAATGGAAGAATTGGCATGGGGTTTGAAGAATAGCAACAAGAATTTCTTGTGGGTAGTTAGATCCACTGAAGAATCCAAACTTCCCAAGAACTTTATAGAGGAATTAAAATTAGCAAGTGAGAATAAAGGTTTCGTGGTATCATGGTGTCCGCAATTACAAGTGTTGGAACATAAATCGATAGGGTGTTTTCTCACACATAGTGGATGGAATTCGACTTTGGAAGCAATTAGTTTGGGAGTGCCAATGGTGACAATGCCACAATGGTCAGATCAACCAACAAATGCAAAGCTTGTGCACGATGTTTGGGAGATGGGAGTTAGAGCCAAACAAGATGACAAAGGGATAGTTAGAAGAGAAATTATTGAAGAAAATATAAAATTAGTGATGGAAGAAGAGAAAGGAAAAGTAATTAGGGAAAATGCAAAGAAATGGAAGGAATTTGCTAGAAATGCTGTGGATGAAGGAGGGAGTTCAGACAAAAACATTGAAGAATTTGTTTCCAATTTGACGACTATTTCTTAAGTAGGAAATTGAGCCATAGAAAAAGAAACAAGAAGCTACATTTGTATTATGCAAGTTTTATTTTTCAGGTTGAAATTAGCAAAATTTGACCTGAATCTTCCTTTATTTTCTCCTCTTTTTTCCCCATTTTCGTGGAAAGCGAAGAAATTTAATTAGCTGATAAAGTTACAAGCTATAATTGTAATGTGTTGTTTATTTGATAGTAAGATATGGACTAAAGTCTAAAGACATCTAATGGTCAATGGGTCATTCCCTACTTATTTGTTAGATTAATGGATTACTTATTTGCAATTTGACCTTTAACTGGACTTTTGGATGCAATTAAAGTTTAACTCCACACATATATACCTTACTAGTATAACTTTTTACTTTATCAATTCAACTAAAAGATAACTTAGGTAACCGTTAGTAACTTGAATTATAAGGCAAATGACATAGACTAACAGGCCAAAATACAATAATAATATAAAAACTTGTTACACTGTCAAAATGCTTGCTTCCCTTACAACATACATTAAAATCAACAGTGTAAAGCAAGGGGAATGAAATGTGGAGCAGTTGGCGCAGTTAAGAGGGAACTGCAACAGTTGCCGGTGAAACTCTAATACCGAGATCATAAAAGCTAGGCCCTAATGTCACTTGATGCTGTTGATTGTCAAAAGTCCTACCGAGTAGGTGACAATTTGGGTTTGAGAATTTTTCCCTATAAAAGAAGGCCTAATGTTTAGGATTTAAATACATTTCTCATTTGTCTTCTTATCTTCTTAAGGCATTTGTATCTTCTCTCTTTAGTATTATTTCACTTGTATTTTTGGAGTGGAATAAAATATTGGTTGTGTCCGAGGAAGTAGGCAAAATTAGCCGAACCTCGTAAACTTTGGTGTTCCTTTTATTATTGTTTTATTGTCTTATTTATTATTTGGTGGCTGCCATAATTTTTGGTATAGTAGTTGTGACTCATTCACACTATATATATTTGGCTTCCGCAACAATTGGTATCAGAGCCAAGGTACTGTCTAAGTATGCTCTGTGGTTGCAGCATAGTCTGATCTTCCACATCAGAAAAGATTTATCTTGGTAACTGAGTCAAGGTTCTGTCTGAGTATGCTCTGTGGTTGCAGCTTAGTCTGATCTTCTACATCAGAAAGGAATAATCTTGATTTGTGTCGTCAGCTATTAAATAATATTTGTGTCAAATATGGGAGACAATAAACAAGAAGAATCTACATCAAGTGTCAACAATACGTCATCATTGGCATCTTCGCTTATGACAAGAATTGTGTCAAATGCGAAATTTGCGGTAGAAATTTTTGACGGGTCCGGACATTTTGGGATGTGGCAAGGCGAGGTTCTAGATGTCCTTTTTCAACAAGGGCTAGATCTGGCCATTGAAGAAAAGAAACCAGATGTTATTGGAGAAGAAGATTGGAGAATTATCAACCGTGTTGCTTGCGGTACCATTCGATCCTACCTTGCTAGAGAGCAGAAATATCCATACACAAAGGAAACTTCTGCAAGTAAATTATGGAAAGCACTGGAGGATAAATTTTTGAAGAAAAACAGTCAAAATAAATTGTACATGAAGAAGAGACTGTTTCACTTCACCTATGTTCCTGGTACCACGATGAATGAACATATCACCAGTTTCAATAAGTTGGTCACAGATTTGCAAAATATGGATACAACTTATGATGATGGTGACTTGGCCTTAATGTTGTTGGCGTCACTTCCTGATGAGTACGAGCACCTTGAAACTACTCTACTTCATGGGAATGACGAAATTTCTCTCAGAGAAGTTTGTTCGGCTTTGTACAACTATGAATAAAGAAAGGGAGAAAAACAAAATGGCGGAGAAGGAGAAGCACTATTTGTGAGGGGTCGTCCTCAAAATCAAACGAGGACAAAGAAGGGAAGATCCAAGTCAAGATCCAGACCCAGCAAAGATGAATGTGCCTTTTGTCGAGAAAAAGGGCACTGGAAGAAAGACTGTCCGAAGTTGAAGAATAAGGCCAAACATAACAATGGAAAGGCCATTATGGATTCAAATGTAGCTGATTGTGATGATTCAGACTTCTCATTAGTTACAACAGAGTCATCAACATCATCAGACATATGGTTGATGGACTCGGCTTGTAGCTATCATATGTGTCCCAACAGGGACTGGTTCGTGGAATTTCAAGAAGGAGAATATGGAGTCATCCACACAGCGGATAACAGCCCTCTTACCTCATATGGCATTGGTTCAATACGATTAAGGAACCATGATGGAATGATCAGAACATTGATAGATGTTCGATATGTACCGGATTTGAAGAAGAATCTCATCTCTGTGGGAGCCCTAGAATCAAAAGGGTTCAAAATCATTGCAGAAAATGGAGTGATGAGAGTATGCTCCGGTGCACTAGTGGTAATGAAGGCTAATCGGAAGAATAATAATATGTACCGCTATCGTGGCAGTACAGTTATTGGGACAGCGACAGTAACATCCAGTGACGACAAAGAGGCAGAAGCAACCAAGCTATGGCACATGCGCTTGGGACATGCTGGAGGAAAATCCTTGAAAACTCTATCAGATCAAGGATTGTTAAAAGGAGTAAAGGCTTGCAACTTGGAGTTTTGTGAGCATTGTGTCAAAGGGAAACAGACAAGGGTTAAATTTGGTACAGCGATCCATAATACTAAAGGCATTTTGGATTATGTACACTCTGATGTTTGGGGTCCTTCCAAAACACCTTCATTGGGTGGGAAGCACTATTTTATAACCTTTGTTGATGATTTTTCCCGAAGAGTGTGGGTGTATATAATGAAGAGCAAAGATGAAGTATTGGGAATTTTTCTCAAATGGAAGACGATGATGGAGAATCAAACAGGCATNAATGAAGGCTAATCGGAAGAACAATAATATGTACCGCTATCGTGGCAGTACAATTATTGGGACAGCGACAGTGACATCCAGTGACGACAAAGAGGCAGAAGCAACCAAGCTATGGCACATGCGCTTGGGACATGCTGGAGGAAAATCCTTGAAAACTCTATCAGATCAAGGATTGTTAAAAGGAGT